GAAGATATTTAATTATGATAATGGACGATTCTTAATTAAGTTCGCTTCAATGTAACCCTTGGGTTGTGCACGACTCGCAGTTGTTTAGTTAGTATCGAGTCAAAGAAATTTAATTAAATGCTCGCATTGAGACTCAACCAGCGTTAATAGGATCATGACAATAATGGAAATTAGTCGGGTTTTAAAAGGCAAAAGTAGTTGTGCTGCAGTGTATTTTATTTATTTTTTATTTTAGAATATAATTAAATTTATAATTGGATATAAAAAAATTTATCGATGAAAAATGCTTGGGCCATTGTGTTCCCGGAGAGAAAAACATGAAAAATCGTTAAAAATCAATCAAACGCCTCGAAATGGCTGCGTATTGTATAAATTGGCATCGTTTAAGTTCAACGCCTGGGTTTTCTACCCCCTTTCGCTCTGCACCCGCCCCCGCTTACACAATTAGTATAGGAATAGCTGAAAAAAGCTTTCTCGTTCGCAGCGAGCGCGAAAAAGTGTTAATGCCTTCAGAGTTCAGAGTTGGGACTCTTCGAAGCGTGTCGCTGGATTTTTCCTCTCGACGCTTTGCTTCTTTAGGTTTTTTTTTTATATTTTAGCTTTTTTTCGGTAATGGTACAATGTTGACGTAACGAAAATACATATTTTCAATTGTTGGATTAATTTTTTTCACGGCTCATTATATTTCGTAGGCTTTTGAGGATTTGCAGCTAATGAAGTTTTTTTCTGTTTCATTATTGCATTCATTAGTGTTCAGGGAAGAAAAATGACTGCAAAGGGAGTGAAGATGGGAATTTTTTGACAGGTCAATGCTCCACGGTGTAAAAACACCGGTTTTTTTGTTTCTAAAAATTAAATAATATTTTATACGCATGAGAGGACACACAACACAGACTATGTTTAAATGTAAATATTGTCGATGTATGAGTGCGCCGAATTTAATTACAATTTTCGGGTTTTGTGTATGGGTATGGGTGTGGGGATTTAATATTTGCGTGATATTGCAATATCTGGTTGTTTTAATTTAAATTGCAAACAATTCGCGGAATATATATTTTTCTCTGTGTTTGCAAAACGTGTGTGGATTTTGTAACGAGAATTTATCACGCGTTAAAAATGATTTTTGAGTAATTCACATTGTTAAACTGATGAAAAGTACACCGTTAATAAATCTTAATTAACCGACGGGCTTTTTATTTGTTGGTTGCGCTGCTGTCGGTATGAGTAATATGCAAAAAATGCAATAACACGCTCAATTCATATCCCGAATTCCCTTTGGCGTAGTGACAAGCAGGCGTTTCTTTTTTTTTCTGCTGCCGGGGGGTTTTGGGCGAGGAGGGATGCGTAAATGGATTAACGCATTGTCGGGTCTGTTTGGAATTCAATTGAACACCGCTCACCTGTGTTTATAATCAAACAGAGCCGGACGCGTTCAATCAACCGACGCACTTCGCGTGCGGCGTGCATTAATCGTGTTTGTTTACCGGTGGGCGAGTTTTGACATTTTTTCGGTTTGGTTTGGTTCTCGATTGGCAGAGTTTGTGAGGTGTATTATTTGACTTGAATGTCGAAACTGGTTTTTGAGTTTATGGAGTGAGTAAATCGACGTTGTGACATTGAAATTTTATGTAAATTGTGTAATAGTTTAAAAGTAGGCCGAAAATAACGCGATCTCAGAGATCACTACTTGTATAAGTATCAGGGGGCGTAGCTCAGATGGTAGAGCGCTCGCTTAGCATGCGAGAGGTACCGGGATCGATACCCGGCGCCTCCAAAGTTTTTCGTGTTTTTCATAGAGAAAAATTAATTATTTCAATTTTTTCGAGAAAAATCAACAAATTTTGCAGTTAAAACCCTGCTAGGTAGGACCAATTGATGTAGAATGTAGTTAAACTTTATATTTCGCTATTATTGTGGTTTTGATCGCTTAAAAAGTGAAAGTAGTCCAATTATTTAAACAACTCGATGACCACAACATCTTAAGATATCAGGGGGCGTAGCTCAGATGGGAGAGCGCTCGCTTAGCATGCGAGAGGTACCGGGATCGATACCCGGCGCCTCCAAATCCTTTTTAGAAATAATTTACAGTATAAATTTTAAAATTTCAGTGTGGATGATACAAAGTACTAAAGCGCCTCTCTATAAACATTTTCGTGTTTTCGCACGACACATTTCCGCTCGCATTGTGCTCGTGCTCATGTATTCATTTGTTCATCGCACACATGAGTGAACGGCTTTAGTTACAGCCCCGCCGGCAGCGGCGGCACCTACTCTGGCCGCTTTGCGCCCGCTTTAAATTTAATCCGTGACTGATTGATATCGGTTTTGCATCCCTCGTCTGCAAACGCACCCGGCCTTTGTCCCTCTGCGGAAAATAGTGCTAAATAGTGTCGAGATAAAGTTAAACTCACGCGCTACACACGCGTTTGTATTAATAATAAACTTAACTCCACCACACGCACGCATTTTCGGATAATAAATTTCACGGATTTTCCCTGCGGGCTGTTGTAAATTTCAAATGTATTCACATGTCAAAAGAATAATTGCAAAACAAGCGAAATTTCAATTTCTACTTCTCGAGCAGTGTTTTCGAATTGCAATTGGTTTTCTTTTTTCTTTTACGGCGGTATTGTCAAAGTTTAATTTCCCACGAAGGGGGACCAGGAAAAAGAAAAAATGAGAGTTGAATAGTTACGAGTGCGGTACTGAAATTGCTAGTATGAGTAGGTGTAGTAGGTTCTGTATTTCGGCATGCCAGCAGCGACAAAAGCTATGATATCGCTGCGAATGCTGGTGCGAGCCGGGTTACATGCCCCGCTTAATCAAGAGCATGCCTGAATAATTGGCCATATCTCATATCACCTTCTCACACCATCCGCGCCGCCATCATTGCGCCCATCTCTATGTACCTATGTACTATCTACTGCTATCCTGTGCAAATATTGTCATGAGAGGGATGCAAAACGTGTTGCAACATTTTTCGGTGGCACGGGGTTATCTCGCTTGATAGGACCGGTAAAAAATACGAAAATACAAAATGTTTTACGCACGGAGGATTTTTGGGAGTTTTCTAAAATCTACAATTTCAATATTTACATTATGATTAATTTATTTGAATAAAAAAAAAGCTTTTTTTTTTTACAAAAACTCGAGAAATATTGAACCGATTTGATTGATTTTTGTTTTAAAATATTTGTACAAATCTTAAGAAGGTTCAAGTGATGAAAAAAAATTGAAGAAAATCTAAGGAAATTAGTTAAAATAACAATTTTACGTTAAAAAAATTAATATCTAATATTTTTCGATTTGTTTCGAATTGAAGTTTAGTAAATTGATGTTAAACTGCATCCAGCACTGCCCAGTACTATTGATCTCTGGAGAAAACTATAAATTCCTCCAAGCACGTCCATTCCTCACAATTTACACCTCGGATAACATGGCAGTGAAGAGTGGGAAGCAGAAGAAAACTCATGAAAATTTAATGCAATTAAATTCGTTGCGTTTATTTTTGCGCGCGCGCTTGTAGATTCCATATTCAATATTCGTGATTCCATTTCGTCGTAGAGGTACCTATATTGTGTATTGTGTTGTGTGATCATCGATTCAGATTCTCATTTTGCTTTTATTCATCTTCTTACCCGTGGATATAACTTTATGTAAATATGCAGTACATTCGCATCGGATCGGATCCGCTGTATATCTGTGTATCTGTATATACATCGCGCGCGTTTTTGATCGCCCCTGCTTTCGCAAAATGTTTTGCTATTCAGTGTTCCGTTTTGCGCGGAATCCACATTGTCTTATTTTCTTATTCTCTTATTCCCATTTCCGGTGTTCCACGCGTGCCGCTGTCGGGGTAGCGCCAGTACGGGAATAGTTTCGGTAAGGCGCTTTTCGTGTCTCTATCTAGACATCTATCTGTGCATCAACGCCGGGGATATTTACACAATGTTGTACGTTTGCTTCGGCATTGCTCGGCACAATATGGAAATTATTCTCGTGAATATTTTGGTTATGTGCGCGTAATGGTAATAATCCCAACTAGGTGGACCAAATCCTAAGGTTGGCATTGAATATTTTCCTAGAATGGCAACATTGTTACCGGAAATTATAGGAAATTGCATTCCACGACTGTCAATTCAAGAAAAATACAGTATTTAAAAGAGAAATATTTTATTTTTTATTTTTTTGTATAAACAGATATTACTTTTGTCATTATATATTTTTTTCTCTGCGCGTTTATGGATGGAGGATGCAGCATCCATAAAAACATGTTAATTATCTGGAAACATTAGGGGGTTAGTTACCCTCGGCGTTATAGTTGGCGCGGCGGCTGCGTACACACAATATTACTTATGTACGTATATTACTTCCACGCGCCGCCGAAATAAATTCGCTTTTATTAGACCCGCTCCGGCGTTGTCATCGCTTCGGGAGGTGGTTGTTTGGGCGAATGGTCGCGACAATTCGACATTATGAACCACCCTCGGCGGAAGATGATGATGATGTGGCATAAAAAGTCTTTGCCCACCATAGGACATACCGCATTCTTTTCTTTTTTTTGCTCTCCAGATGCTTGAATTGTAGATATTGGACATTCTTGCGGCATTTTTATTAGTTTCTTGTGTCTTGCTGGTCACAAGTGTTTAGGCCCTTTAGGGTTTGATGTCTTAAATTTAATGAAATGTTAAAAATTATGTTTGGGAACACGCATGAATGAGTTATAATGTTTTGTTGGTAATGGTGGAAAACCAGACGATGTGCAATGTTTTGCTCGTTTCTGACCGGCCGGCTGGTGGTGGGTTTTTGCATAGTTGAAAATTTTCGTCGTGCATTATGCGTTATGGTGTTGATCATGAAACGAGATGCGAGGTGAAACGCATTCCGCCGCTTTTGCCGCCGCCTCCACCTCTATGCATCGCAGCAGCCGCCGCCGCCGCCAGTGGTGGGGGGATCGGACGGCGGCGCGGCGTCCAGACGCTCTTTCAGTAAGCTAGCAGCGCGGTCCCGACGCGGTGGTGTGTTATATCCCGGTCTGTGTCTTTCCGGTGTGCGTAAATTGTCTGCCGCCGCCGCCGCCGGTGTGTAAACAAAAGAAAATAAAACTCAACTGTGACTACAAACTATAAAGTTGAACGAGTGCACGAGAGTCAGAGTTCACATAACTTCTTGTCGCACTGGCTTAGAATTTAATCTTATCTTGTTTATGAAAGTTTTGCGGCTATAAATTTAAATATAAACATTATCTGTGTTCATCCAGTGTGTGAGTCAGTGCAGTTTTAGTTGATAGTCATAATAATGTGATTTATAAAGAAGAATTAACTCAAAACAATGCAAAACGGCCCTAATAGCGTGTTTTTTGCCATTGGCAACACACCCAACCCTCTGGCACACAATGGATTTAACAACGGAAACGCCGGCAACAATATCAATAATAACAACATCAACCACAACCACATTGTAAATGGAGCCGGGGGTGTTGGCGGCGGCGGTGGTGCCGGTGGCGTGCCGCCCGCATTACCGACGGTGCCGCACGGCCCGCTGCCGCGCAACGTGCAGCGCAACAACAACCACAATGCGCAGAACCATCTCAATGGCAATCCCACCAATCTGATGCCACACATGCCCAATTTACCCAATGGTAATCCGCCGGCGACGCCGAAACCGATCCAGAATGGCAATGCTAATACTGTGGTGGTTACCAATGGGCATGGTGTGCCAAATGGGAATGCAAACCGTCCGCAGGTGGTTGTAAATGGTAACGAACCTGTTGGTATTACCAATACTGGTATCAGTAATACCAAGGTGTTACCATCGCCTATTTTGACGAATGCTAACTGTAATGTGGATAATTTGGCGAACATAACGAATTTCGCAAATATTGCTGATTTGGCCAAGCTGACGGCGAATAATGGGAATAATGGATATAGACTGTTGTCTGCGCAAGGCATGGAGACACTGCAGGCGTTCCTGAGGGAACACGGGAATGATTGCATCAGGCAGTTTGTTAAGGTTGGTCATGGTTAGCAGAAAAAAAAAGTGTGATATTAAATTTTAGACAATGCCGGTTTTAATCAGACTCACCAAAAATGTAAAACAAAGTTTGCTCTTGTGCTTTTATTCAAAATCGTATTCATCCGGCGCACTGCGGCGGCCGAGGCAGCATTATATGCTATTTTTATTTTTGACAATAATTTATGTCCCTTTTCGCACATCCTGGCGCGTTGCTCAGGCACAAAACAGCGCATTCCTGTTTTCTACACGTTGTCCTCATTTTTTCAAATCATTTTTCATTAAAATTCAGCGAATATTTTATTATTAAACACCCTGTATATTTTTTGAGGTGCAAAAAATTTGCGTGTTGTGATATTAGTAAAAATGCGAGTCGAAAGTTTAAATTATGTGCGTCTCACGCACGTCGCCCCCCACAAGTGGGAATTGAAAAGACGTACATGCCTCACGCACACAGTGGTTGCGTTTTGCTTGGGGGCGGGCGGGATGGTAAGACGTGCGAAACAAGTCGAAGAGTTTTGCGATGCGTGGTGGCGTACGAACGCGTCGAGTTGTTCTAAGTGTAATTTATATGCGTTTCCGAACGCGTGTGTGCTGCGTACTTTCATTTGACTGGCAAATATTACTCGCACCGGAAGCATAAATAACACCTTTTTTCCTGAAGGATGTGTCTTTATATTTCAAGAGGCAGAAGCGCGCGCTGTAATAAAAAAAATAATTCTAAGACTAAATCCGTTTGTTCTGCGCTGGGGCGCAATGCAAATGTTAGGAAAATAATTCCTGTGATTGCAGGAAGTCGTTTTGCAGGCGGTACTAATGCATGGGAAGTTCAATTACGTTGTATTTCAGCCTGTTTCCGTGTTGGGGGATTCATTGTCTTTGCTTTCGGTTTGTTTGGTTCAGATTCAGAAACTTACAACTTCCTGAAGTCTAAATTTGTAAAAATTCTTATTCAAAATCTGTTTGTAAGCGCATAACTCAACAACGCCTAGAACAATTTGGTCAATTCTTTTTTTAAAATGTCCATTAAAGTCCAAGGATGGTTTTAACGGCGAGAAAAATTCGAATAATTGCCGGGAAAACCCTAAAAACAGCCATTTTCTATAGGATAAAAGTTGGCATTGAGATTCAATCATAGTTATAGTTAAATAGTTGAATCCGAGATGGCGCGCTGAAGTGCATTATTAGCAATTCTTTATATAATTATTTTTGTCTAGAACAAGAGAGTAGAAACGAATTACATTTTTATTAAACACTACTGGAACGAAGTCGCGAAGACTATAAATATTTGAATTTAATTTTAAAAATGTTTGTCGTGTCCAAAGATGCGAAATTTGTAATCGCACAAATTGAAATGAATGTTTCTGCGGATTATAAACGAGCGATTCGAATTTTTGCGCGCTGAAAAAAAAAGTTAAACGCCAGCATAAATTGCACTCGGTCCGAAAGTCATTTATCTCAATCACGAATAGTAAGTTAAATAACGGCTAATGGCCAGAAGTTGAAGGTAAATTGAAGCTCAGCTGGCGCGCGCGCGCGTGGATTCAATGCGTGTGCTTTTAATTTTACGAACGAAATTAAAAACGATAAAATTAATCCACATTTGGTTGGCTGTCGAGCATTATTTCAGCACCACCTCAATGGTTTTATGGTTAAAATTTGAATATTTGGATATTTTCATCACCTATATTCATACCTAAGAGAAACTTTTTATCACTTTGTATAATTGCTGCTTTTTAATCCATCTCATCTTTTTCATTTGGGTTTAATTAAATTTAATCTACACAAAAGTCTGTTGTATATGTGGGTATGGATAATGTAAATATAAATAAAATAATCGTCCATTAGAATCACTTTGCTCGTAAGTGGGATTCAATTAAATTAAATAATGTGATTAAAATTAAAATCTAAATGCGAAGAGTATCATTACCAATTGGTAATTTATAATTTATATTAATGTTTAATGTTTAGTAATGCAATATTTCTAATAGAAATTAATTTTATTCAAATTTAAATTAACTATTTCTATATGGAATTTAATTTATTAATTATTGATTATACTGAGTGAGTTTAGTTAGGTACACACAAATGAAATGCGTCGAGGAAATTTTCAATTTAATTCGATTCGTGTGGTTATTTAGGTGCATTAGATCGTTATTCGATGCCGACGCTGGTTATTCGATTCGTCTCGGCTGGATTCATTCAATTTCCTTCGTTTTTCGCGCAAAATCGCAGCACCGCTTGCCTTTAAAACCGGATATCCGGCTGAGCGTTGAACCATTTCGGTAACGTCGTCATGCTTCTTCCTTCGCCAGAGCTCATTCCACGGCCAATCCTCGGCCGGGATTTCGACTTTTGTGTGATGTTGTGGACACTATGTGGACATTCGTTCCTAAACGTCGCGCAGATGTCAGTCTGATGGCAGTTTTTCTTTGCGCCTTGCACTGACCCTTTTCCTACTTGCATCTGGGGCCATTTCTTCGTCTGTATTCTAGTTTATTTTATTTTATTTTATTTTTACCAGTCTGACTGAAGCTTTAATGAAAGAAAATCTAACATAGACTTGTTATACAGGGTAAATAGAAATTTAAAAAATAAAAACGTAATTAAAATTACAGTAACTGCGCTTTGAATAGTTTTCAATTGTATTCTATTGAAATGTAATTTCGAGAATGCAACCTGCTAACTGCAGCCATCCTTGGGTATTTATTATCCGCGCTATTGTCATTTTACTAATTGTTACATGGCTTTGGAATACCCGTGAGACATTCTTTCATCTGCTGCGCTCGGTAAACGCTGCTCCGTTTTCTTATCCAGCGTCTTGTGCCTTGTTGTTTTTGTTCGTGTTCTCTTCCCGTTATTAATAGCCGGCTTCTTTTGTTACAGGTTAGTAAATCTACCTCAGTACCTCTGGCGACACTTTAGAAATTACAATTGAAAGACTCCGCGTTACAACTCTGTACGTAAGTTTTAGTTGAGCTATTTTAAACTTTGTCGAGAAAATATATATAAATATATATGAAATGAGTTTATTGCACTAGAATGCGCTCATTTTTAACTCTGCTCTAGATTAAAATTAATTCTAGGCAAAATTTTGTATTATCCTGTAGAAAGCGCAAGATAAATGAGTTTTTATCGAATTTGTGCGCAAAAGTAAAATGTTTAGCTTTACGTGCTCGTTGCGTTTTCGTTGGATAACAGCGAGGTGCTGCAAATGTTGGTAGTTGTCGTAGACGTAGCGAAGCAGACATCCAAACGACTTTACTTCCCTCGTCGGGCTTCCATGAGAGGAGGATGCTGGTGGTGCATGGATTCTGGTCTAGACTCTAGACGAAGTCGTTATATTTGTCGAGCTAGACTGAACACACACATACATACACTACTAAACAACTGTGACTGTAAATTTCTACGGTCTGGAGTAAATTTAAATTTAATCTGCAAGCTGTGTGAGTTGCTAGTTGTTGCGCGCGCGGCGCAAACTACACTTGCTGTATACTTGACACTTGGTTAATTGCTTTATTTCATTTCGGCTAATTTTATTTTATATTCGACTTAAATATGTTTTTTAATTAAAGTGTAAAATTAAAGCTGGTTGTGGATCGATGCCGAGACAATGGCGTTGATAAAAGTTGTGTTTGTGTTGCGATGAATGCGCTGAATTGTTTCGAGCGGCTAAGGAAGTTATGAGCTAACTTTTGACGTAATGTCCTGAATATCCTGGTGCATGTGCAACTGCTCTTCTTGCGCTTAATTAAAAGCACTCGCGAATGTGCGCAATGCGAAAATATTTAATAAAAGTGCAATTTTTCAGTCTTAACTTGCGCTATAATAATAATAAACATATTTTATTGTTGAATCTCAGCGTTCACACATTGTAGGTTTCTTTTTATAACCTGAAAAAATTTCGTTTTACATTTTGTGTTTATTTTTGTCAAGGAGAGTAATTTTAGACGCCTCGAAGAAAAATTGGACGTGAAAAAAATGTCAACGCGTTTGTTGTTTGCGTTGAATTTATGTTGCGACGCATTTGCATATTTTTATTATGGGTGATAAAGCGTTTTAGGCTGCTATTACACAAAAAGACGAAAATTCGCCAAACATTTCGGAAACAGATTTTTGTTCGAACATTGTTTTGACAAGTGCAGCAAAGTCCAATAAACATAAATTACGCGCTGAAATATCATCATTCAAATACGCTGCACGGATGAGTAATGAGATTGTGGACATGCTCAAAACTGTGCAGGGAAAGTTGAAAATCATTTTTGAGTTTTATACTCATACTTACTTAGACTTGTTATCAACTCTTGAATTTCTTGAATTATTTTTTCTTCATTGCTCTATGAAGTCATCAATATTCTTCGCTCGTATCTGCTTGGCCATGCATTACTCTACGATATGTCATATTTATTCCTAGTCGTCTATTTGTCCTTGCAGTAAGAAGGACGAGAAATTTGCCTCGGGAAATATAGCTATTATTCCATTCGACTTGTATCTGTAGATATTGCAAGTTTGGCCGGAAAAAACTTGAGAAATTGAACAAATGAGAGTGGCGTCTAACATCTGGAGGTGAATTTATGAATGGAGAATAAATATCTATCTACCACATTTACCGTGGGGACATAAATTTCAATATTTCCATGCGAATTTAAACATTTTATATTTTTCTAGTATTTTAATGTCAATTTCTGTTATAAAGTCGCTGTTTAAATGTAAATTACATTGTTTTATATTGAAACTTGTTGAAGGCGTGAAAATTATGCTTGGAATTGTTTTATTTTTTATTTTTCGCTTGTATAACTTTTCCGTCTGCCGAATTTTTACGCATGCATTGAACACAATTGCATGATGTATGCAGCGACGCCAGGCCATTCATATTTTTACAATATCACAATATTTCCTCGCGCTCGTGTCTTGGCTGGTTTGGTTTCTCGCGTTGACGCCGCTGCAGGGGGAAAACTGCACGGGTGACTTTTTTTATTTTTGCGCTGTGCGAGACGCTC